ATATATATATATGTATATATTTTAATATATATATATGTGTGATGAAAAGCAATCAATTGCACAAACCCCAATAACGGTGATGGTTGCTTGTAGCATTATGTTTAGTGTTTCTATATAAAAATGGTGCTCTGGGAAAAGCTCTATGGGGTAAGCATATGTTTGTCAGTAATTGTCTTTGAAAATTTGTTTCTAAAAAATGTTTTCTTCCCCTTCCCTCTTCTATTAAAATACAAAATACAGGTATAGGCTGCTTCATGTTTTGGAGTTTGATCCAAATCGCAGGCGCATGAGCGTCATTGTAGAGAGTCCCTCAGGTCAGTGATCAGAAGCTGCACAAGCTGTGGTTGAGAACATCTTAAATAGTATGTATAATTTCTGTTCTGTTTCTCTTTTTAGGGGAAAAGCTTTTATTCACAAAAGGAGCAGAATCTTCCATTCTTCCTCGTAGTAAGAGTGGAGAAATAGACAAAACAAGGATACATGTGGATGAATTTGCTTTGGTAAGTGTATATGCTTGCCCAGTAAGAAAATTCTTCTGGTACAAATTCTGTGACTTGGAAGTGAAAAAATTGAAGGTGACACCTACTTGTTAGATCAGAATCTTGTCTACTCTGAAGATAGTCTTTTGTTTTCTCACAGAAAGGACTAAGAACTTTGTGCATAGCCTACAGAAGATTCACACCTGAGGAGTATCAAGAAATTGGCAAACGCCTTCATGAGGCCAGGACTGCCTTACAGCAACGGGAAGAAAGATTAGCAGATGTATTCAACTTCATCGAAAGGGATCTGGAATTACTTGGGGCTACAGGAGTAGAAGACAAGTATGCAAGGAAGTTTCTGCTAACTACATGTGGCGAGTTTAGGATTTATAAATATAAATGTAACGTAATATGTGCCGTGAAAAACTCTCCTGCCACCACCAAAAAGTTTTGTGCTCTTCTTGTTTGGTGTGTTTTACTGCTCTTTGGACTGAGGAACATTCAAAACATGTACGAAGTGATTTTGGCCTAGCAATGACATACAATGTGCTTCATCAGAGGAGATTTAATGTACAGAAAAACGGAATAATTGCAGTAAATATTTAGGATAATGGCTAATTCCCTGAGGAATCTTCTATACGTAGCTACTTTACAAAGCATTCTGCTTGCGTGGCGTGTATTCTGTAGGTCAGAGGGTGCATTGCACACTGGAGTTTGCAGATGGAGCACTTAGAAGTTTTTCATGCACCACAGTAGATAGTAATTGTTGCAGAATATTTTAAAGCTTCTCAAATGCAGCATTGGTGCTTAATTTAAATTAAGATATGCTTATTGCAAACTTTTGACCACTTAGCAAGATTGAAGTTCAGTTTTTCTTACATGAAGGCCTTCATTTTACTTCTGGTAGCAGGATGTCATCTGCCAGACTGATTCTCGGAAAGTATACATAACGTTGAAAATGCAGTCTTAAATCATCATGACAGTAGGGTTACCAGACTAACATGATGTTACAGTGTGAACTCTTTTTTTTATAAAGTGTTTGATTGGTTATTTAAGATTTTTCTTGTTTCTAGACTGCAGGAGAAAGTCCAAGAAACAATAGAAGCGCTCAGGTTGGCTGGTATCAAAGTGTGGGTGCTCACTGGAGATAAGCACGAAACGGCTGTCAGTGTCAGTTTGTCGTGTGGACACTTCCATAGAACCATGAACATCCTTGAGCTTGTGCAGCACAAGTCGGACAGTACATGCGCAGAACAACTGAGGCAGCTAGCCAAGAGGTAAAATAACCGAGGTGTCGTTATCTCAGTGATGATCTTAGCTTGGTTTTCTTTTATTTTCAAATTTTATTATAATCTTTGATGTCAGACACATAAAGTTACCTTTTAAAAATGTGCTTATTAGTGTAACAATGGGCTTGAAGAAGCAGTCTATCTAACAGGCTAAATTCTGTATTTGTTTTATGGGTGACCATGTAGTTCATAACAAATTTGAATTTTTTCCATCACACCGATACGATGCCAACATTTTTGTCCCTGAATAGAATAAAGGAAGACCATGTTATCCAGCATGGACTGGTTGTGGATGGGACCAGCCTTTCTCTTGCACTCAGGGAACATGAAAAACTGTTCATGGAAGTTTGCAAAAACTGTTCTGCAGTGTTGTGCTGTCGCATGGCACCTCTTCAGAAAGCAAAGGTAAGTGAGAATATATCAGGGTTGTCTTCTAAGTATGTTTATGGTGCTTTGAGGAGGCAAGAATTTCTGGAACTGCTTTGGTGTTTGCCTGACCTTTTCTGTGATTTTTGAACCCTTGATAAATTCAGTTGATCTGGAGTAGTTTGCTCAGAAGTTTCTACAAGCATTTGTGAAAATTTGCGAGTGGATGGAGGAGTCAAAATACGGCCACTGTTCAAGAAAAATGTCAATCTTTCTTCAGACTCTTGAATGTTCTGTAAGGCAGAAGCTATCCTGATCACCTGTGTGCTTTCACGTTGCCTGTTCAATCACTTCTCCAAACCAAAAAAGCTCAACTGAAAATTCATGAAGCTGCTTCTCTAAAGATGTAAAAAATAGCCAGATTTGAAGAGGAAGTAAAAGGGAAGGCCTAGTCTCTAGGGCAATTTGCCTTAATGCTCTCTTCTAAGACCATTTTTCTTCCTGCTTAATTTTACTCATATACAGGTCAGATAAAATTCAAATTCAGGTTTTGTAATTTTTTTTTTATTCTAGAAAGCGAAGCTCTGAAGAGATACAATTATTCTTTCTTTTTGAATTCTTCTGTCTTCATTTTATGCTTCTCATTTTTTGGACTAATATGCAGTTGTATACCTCTACTGGTGTATTTTTTAATCATAGAATCATAGAATGGCCTAAGCTGGAAGGGACCTTAGAGATCATTTATACTTTTAGCATATCTTTATGCTTTAAAGGCTTTTTGAATGTTTTATTAAACGTTATTGCATGTAATAGTATATCTCTGAAAGGACACCGTTGCTCATTCTATTTTTACACCTTGTCAAAAAGCAAAGGAAAACCACATCTTTTTACCTTAAAGCACTGGGAAACCCTTATGTGAGGTGCTAGATGTGCAGAAGAGGGAAACTGCTTTACGATGGCATGGGTGACCTGTTCCGAGGTCACTCTTCCAGCTTCCAGCCTAATGATTCTTCAGAATCACTTTGTTATAAAACTGTGTATAAAGCTGTGTATAAAACTTGCTATAATACAAGTTTCATTGCGATGTTAAAAGGAAGTTACTTGTAACTACCTTGAGAAAAACAATATGTTGTATCTGTCCACTTTATGTACTCTTTTAGCTATAATTTTTGCCATCTTCTCTCTTTAAGGTGTAGTTATTTGCCTGTCTTGTGTCCTTGTTCTTACCTTTGTCATTTACCTTGATTTATAATGTGATTTATAATGCACTGCCAAATCTAGTACGTGGGAGCCGAGAATGCTTTCCTTATTTCTTTTCCTGTCCAGTAGATAAGCTCCATTATTTTCTGTGTTGTGTCATGAAGTACAGTAAAACCTGATTTTGATAGCAGAGGCTTTTTAGTTTTAAATGCTGAAGTATATAAATCCCTGAGGCAAGCACAGACCGACATGAGAGGGAAGGGTGAGGAAGGAAGCGTACGGGAGTTTAGCCTGGCCTGGCGTTTGTTTTTCTGCTGTAGGTACCATTTTGTGAGGTTTGTTCCAAGGTTAAGCTGGAACTCAGCTTAGTGTTTTCCACATTTTTTCCCTTTAATTTCAGTGGATGTTTATGTATGGCTAGTGGGCTCACTACTTCTTTTTGTGTATTTTCTGGCTTGGAAACCTTTTTAAACATCTTTCATGTCAGTCACTCAGAGTTGCCGCTGATTGCTGCTGTTAAAATTTGCCAGAGGATTTGTCTTGACCTTTTCACATGAGCTGTTCCCATGTCTAAATCACCACAGTCTTCGTATCTCCCGAGGACTGATGTGGGTGACAAGCTGCAGCCTTGCTGCCTCTTTAAGGCTGCTTAAGACCTAATGCTAAAGGTACTTGAAATAATTACCCCTTAGGAATGGGGAACCTTTCAACTTGAATATTAATACCTGCGATTAGGGACGTGTCCCCACAGTCACCTGACTGTGGATTTCTCGGAACTGTGGACAGTATTTCATCGCTGTGGTGCTCCTTGTGTGAAATGAGGAACTGCCCGTTTGAATCGGTGCCAGCTTAGACCTCAGTTATCTGAGTACAGTATTTGTGTCTACCTGCCTCATGCCATTATTGCTCTGTTGATATTTCTGCTTTGTTTTTTCTGGAACTTCAAGGGGGAAAATGCAGTATTTTTTCATAGGTAAATATTTTTTATTTTTAGAAAGCCTTCTGGACCTGCATTGCTTTACGACTGAATTAGTGAAGCTTCTACCTTTAGTCAGAGCTTTCTCAGAGGCTGATGAATTACTAATTGTCTTTAACCAAAAGCCTCATCTAAACAACTCCTCTCTATTTAGAATATTGTTGGCACTTAATTAAGGATCTTTTTCCTTTCTGTGGAGAGCAAGGTATCATTGCTCTTCTTCTGAGAATTTTAGAGCATTGTATATAAATAATATTTTTCCTCTTTCTGTCCTATCTTCTGTGTTTTCAACTGAGAATACTCCATTGGTGATAATGTGGTTGCTTTGAAAAGAAACTATTTTCTTTAATAACAACCTGTATTGATCTTTATGCTAATATGCTGTTTTTTCAGATTCCTCTTGTACACTGGTTAGTTCTGTTAATAGAAAATGTGAAGAATCTGGACATGTCTAGTAAAGGGCATTAAATCTAGATTGCTCCCTAAGTAAATTTTTGGTTCCCACTTTTACTTGGCTGTTTATTATGGTAAAGCACTAAATTAAGGGTTGTAAAAAAATATCTAAATAAGAACAGCAAAATAAACTCAAGACAGGCATGATATTTAAATAAGACTTGTGCTGCAAAGCAAGCAGCTTTTTCTAAAGGGGCAGTGAAGTGATGCGTGTGATATGCTGAAGATGTTTTTTCCCAGAGTGTGCACATTTGTAAAACCTATTAATTATATTTACAGGTAGGTAACTAACTAAGATATTTGAGATTTAGTGGCATGATTTGTCGGTAGACTGTGTCTAATCTCAGAAATTTCTGCCCTTTGTTTGTGTTTTTTTTTTCCAGGTAGTGAGACTATTAAAAACGTCTCCAGAGAAACCTATAACATTAGCGATTGGTGATGGTGCTAATGATGTGAGCATGATTCAGGAAGCGCATGTTGGCATAGGTAACTTCCTTTTGTCAGAAGAGAAAAAAGCAAAGAAGATGCAAATTGTAGTAGAGGATTAGATCATTAAAAGCGTTTATAGACAGCTAAACCTGTAATGATTTTGCACCTGAGAATGACAGGGCATTCATCTGAGTCATCCGTTGTACCGTGGTTTTAGTGAAATTTAAGATTTAGTGGCTGTTTACTTTCAGGAGACTTAGGTTTATTGTGTAGTCTATCAGTTATCAGAAGTCCTGCTTAATGCTGCTGTAAGAACACCAAAGATTCTCTGTAACCAGAATCTCGGAAGTAATCTGCTCCAGGTATTGGAAGTGGGTATCTCTAACTTCAGACATTGTCAGCTTTTAAGTTCTTGTGTATACTGGCCCTTTAAGCCTGTATTTGCGCTAAACTGCCACTGTTTGCACCCTGTCTGTATTGCTGCAGAAATGCCATTTGGGGCTAGTTTGTCTCTGAGGAGAAGGCTTTCCCTGTAGCTCTTGAGAGGCTGCTCTTGATTCTCAGCTAAGTTTGGTCGTTGACTCTTGTTCTCTGTTACCTGGCCTGGACCTTCTTTAAAGTTGTCTGGCTTTTTTTTTCTGCTGTGTTATATAACTGAGTACAAATAATAGATATAACTGAATTGGCACCATCACATAGTATTTTAATATTTCCTTTCCTGACTTTGGGTGGTGTTTGCAGTTGGAAATGGCTGAAGGTTCTTGCCTAAGGTATGTCGGCATATTCAGTCTGTCACCCTTCGTGGGTGAAAAGATCCAGGTGATGTTTATCGTGTGGCCCTGATCTTTAAGACCAGCAGTATAACCTGCTTGACAGGGTTACACACCAATAACAAATGATGCTTTATTCTACAGCTAGTTTGTCAACTAAATGAAGTTTATTAAAAATAAAATTAGCCAAGTTTTTATTGCAATTTGTAGCATATTAGGCACTGCATGTATGCTGGTTAGAACTAACAAGTTTTTGCCTTTGAGAGTGACAGGTTCTTTAGGCTTTTTTTTTTTTTTCCCCCCCTTCAAAAGTAGCCAGCACTTTTAAGTGTCTGGTTTTCAGGAATCCTGGGCCACTTTTCTTCTATAAAAGAGCATTTTGTGTTCTCTGTGTATGCTTATCCTAATCTTAATAGATTAGAAATGAATTTGTGTTCAGCTATGACAAGTGACGAGCATTGTCAGTCCGTCACATTAAGTAAATTTTTATTGTAAGAACAGCATTTCTTTCATTTTTCTGTTGAGTCTAGGTCATCTATAGTTCCCAGAAAGTACTCTAAGAAAAACCTCGCTAAAGTAAAATATACTAAGTGAATTGGTAGATGATGGATTGACAATGGTTTGCTTGGTTTGGGAATTTTGGTTTTGTATGAGTGTTGTTATTACTTTATCTTCCCGTAAATCTTTTCTTAACCATAGCTTACAGAAATAGTATTATTTTTCTTTTATTATTTTTTTTTAGTTTGAATCAGCTTCAGATGAGCAAATTCCGTTAGTTGTGTCAGGAATAATGCCTTCAGCAACTTTCAGTTCCGAAATAAGTCTTCATAATGTCCAAACGCAGGAAAGCAGAACTGTAGCTTCAGATGTATGTTGTTGGGTTTTTTAAACTTTAATTTTTATAATGTTAAACCTGATTTATGTTTTGTTTCCCAAATGTTACAGGAATCATGGGTAAAGAAGGACGACAAGCTGTAAGAAATAGTGACTATGCAATAGCACGGTTTAAATTCCTCTCCAAGTTGCTTTTTGTTCATGGGCACTTTTACTATATTAGAATAGCAACCCTTGTACAGTACTTTTTTTATAAGGTAAGTCTTTAAAGAGTGCCAGTAAAGCTCACAAAAGAAATATGTAACTTTTTCCCAGCAAGAAATTTATTTCAGATCTAAGATTTTTGCTGGGAACGAGTTAAATATCTCTATTCAAACAAGTTTTCTGGTGGCTTTTTTCTTTTATATTTTACAAGCAAATTCAATAGTTTAGCTGTGATATTGTTTCGTATTTCCACCTAGAAATAAGGTTTTAAATACTGCAGTTTCCCTGGGCTGAAAGGCAGACATGTTTGCTCCCTGAAAGCATTATTACTGGCCTGAAATTAAATACATTCATCAGCAAGATGTAAAAGTATAACCTGGAATCCTGGCCTGCAGTCTTTGAAATGCCAATAACGTTTGTTTGTTTGTTTGTTTTGTTTATTGGTGTCAAAGTTCACTATCCCAGTTGAAATTTATCTGAGATTCTAGCACTGGCCACCAAGCCACGTTTTTTTGTCTGATAATTGCTTTCATTTAAAGATAAGTGCGTGGTGTTAGGGTTTGGTTTCTGTTTCGTATATTCCCATGCAGAAAGCTCACCTGAGCAAGACACAGGCTTTCTTAAATGAAATCATAGAATCATAGAATGATTTAGGTTGGAAGGGACCTCAAAGATCATCTAGTTCCAACCCCTCTGCCATGGCAGAGGCATCTCCCACTAGACCAGGTTGCTCCATCCTCCATCCAGCCTGGCCTTGAACCCTTCCAGGGATGGAGCATCCACAACCTCCCTGGACAGTCTGTTCCAGTGCCTCAGCACCCTCAGGGTAAAGAACTTCCTTGTATCTCACCTAAACGTACACTCTTCCTGCTTCCACCCATTACCCTTCATCCTGGGACTGGACTTGATGATCTCAGAGGTCTTTTCCAGCCTCACTACCGGCCCTTGTAAAAAGTCCCTCCGCAGCCTCCTTGCAGGCCCCCTTCGGGCACTGGCAGGCTGCTGTAAGGTCTCCCTGGAGCCTTCTCCAGGTGAACAAGCCCAACTCTCTCAGCCTGTCCTTGTAGGAGAGGTGTTCCAGCCCTCTGACCATCTTGGTAGCCCTCTGCTGGACTCACTCCAGCAGCTCCCTGTCTTTCTTGTATGGGGGGCTCCCGAGCTGGACGCAGTGTTCCAGGTGGGGTCTCACAAGGGCAGAGCAGAGCGAATGTGTAAACTGTTTTGCAAAGAAAATTCTTAAAAAGAAACTGAGGGGAAAATAGATGGATTTTTCCTCCTTTACTAGTACTTGTACTCCCATAATGAGAGATGTTCATCAAGCACATAGAGTTTTTAGGTTTTGCAGGTTCGTTGCACCAAACAAAATACACTCTGGAGCAAAGCATAGTGCTTCACTTTGCCAAGTAAATGCTGAAATGCTTTATGCTCTTCCTGTGTATTTTTACCACCTTGAAAGAGCAATTTTTTGTAAGGTTGCAGGACATCTACTGAGGACTAACTGTTTCCTTCACTTTTCTTTTTTCAGAATGTGTGCTTTATTACACCACAATTTTTATATCAGTTCTTCTGTTTGTTTTCACAACAAGTGAGTATCAGATGCCTTGTATCTTGGCAATGTATATAAAATGCTCAGGGTAGATAGCTAAAAATATGGGCAAGAGCTACCCAGGAGCAGCACAGATTTTACACTTAAATATCCAGCTTTGCTTTCTGTGTTTGATAGCTTGATGTTACTAGATGGCTATGTGAGTGTAGCTTTTTTTCCTAACTAGTAAATTCACGTAATTAATAAACTGTTGCTGCTGTTAGTGTGCCAATAAATTTTAATTAATATAAACAACTTTTTCCTTACAAGACTCAATCATTTTTGTTTCCATTTTCAGACGCTCTATGACAGTGTATACCTGACTTTGTACAATATTTGTTTCACTTCCTTGCCTGTCCTCATATACAGTCTTTTTGAACAGCATGTGCATCCGCATGTATTGCAGAGTAAACCCGTGCTCTATCGGTATGTACATCTCACGTATATTTTCACGGTAGCACATCATTTGGAACAACGGTTGCATCTGCAGAAGTCTAAACTTGCTATTATTTATCCTTACAGTATTTTTACCTACAGTTTATGCAATTTTACTAACTGTCATGATGAGGAAGAACTGCAGCTACATAGTTTTCATCCCAAAAGTTAATTAAAATGAGTATTTTAAGACTAACATCTTTTCATGGCAGGCATGTTAAGACTGGAAGAGAACTGAGCCACTTGATGGGCTGACATGATTGGCAGAGTTCTCCTCCATTACATGTAGGAGGTGAAAATCACACGGACACACAAATGAAAAACTAGGACACTCTGGTTAGGGGAATCACCACGGAAAATGCTTTACTAAGAGGGGAAATGATTTCCTGTGGAATTAGATGTCCTCCCAGTGGTAGCATGTTGCACTGCATACTGCTTTTTTGGAGAAAAAAAATATGTATTTTTGTTAAGAGAAGAGATGTCTCTTAGATGTTTCTCATTTCCTAAAGGTCTTTTAAGCAGAGCAAGAGGCAAGTATCAAGCGATCTGGCTTTTTCTTCCTCTTGCAATTTCACCTCCAGGGAAAAGAATTCTAGTTTGTGCTATTCTGAGTTTGACCCAGTAGAGACCCTTGCCATTGGTGATCCCTGCGTAAAGCAGAGGCAAATCATGAGAACTCGGAGTTCTTTTTTTTGCTCATGATTTATGTATTTTTCCATGTGTCAGCATTCGTTAAATGTATCTTGGTGCAGTTGAAAGTTACATTTATTCAAAGCAGTCACAGTCATGCAGTGTGAATAACTGATGGGTTGTATAAAGAGAATCTGAAATCCAAAATCTGTTTTATTTCTGCAGAGACATCAGTAAAAATTCCCATCTGGGGTTTAAACCATTTCTTTACTGGACCATCTTGGGCTTCTTTCATGCATTTGTTTTCTTTTATGGCTCGTATCTTCTAATGGGAGAAGACACTTCCCTGCTAGGAAATGGCCAGGTATATCATAAGAATTATTCTACCACTATATTTTTTGTGATATGTCTTAATACTTTAAAAAAAAACCAACCAAACCTGTGTCAGAAGAGTCTTAAGATACATTTTTATTTATTTATTTTTATGAATTACAATAACTACCAAAGATGCCTTGCCATTATTCATATGTGCTCTCAAGAGTGACAGTTCTTTGTGTGGAAATTGTAGGGCATGTTGTCAGAAAGCACATGTTCATGAATAACATATCTTTCATGGTAATGAATGTATTATAGTAGTCTTAAACTTCGCTTTATTTTATATGCTGTTTTTGTCAAAATCATATGGCATAACTTCAGTAAATGAGAATTCATATTAATTCAAAACTTGTTTTGAGTTGGACTTAATTGCAGTGTCAGAGTGACTTCTCTTTGGCTTCTCTTATAAAATTAGGCTTAAATCTGAAAGTTGCCAAAAGTCTTAGAGCTTCTCCTGAAAATGTACTGTTTTAATTACTCGGAATTTTTGAAACTCAAGTGGTGCAAGCTGGTTTGAAATTATACTTCTTATTCAATAAATGCTTTTAAGACAATAACTTAATGAAATCATCTTTTAAAGATGTTAAAATACACAAGGGAATTTCTGTACAAAAACCTCTAAAGCTCGGATGAAACCATTACAAGTTTGCTTCCTCATTTTCCCTGGTCCTCAGTTAGTCAATACAGTTTAGAACAATTAGGTGCTGACTTTTTTTCTTCTCTCATAAAACAAGAGTAGTGATGCAAAAATACGTTAGCTTCTCTGATTATGCTGTTCTTACTACTGACACGAAGCGCTTGCCGATTCTCACGTAGCGCTTCCTCGAGTTACGGCACGAGGTGCAAAACCAGCATCGAGCTGAACTCACGGTGGTCGCCTGGAGTTGATAAGGAGTGAGCATGAGCTCGGGAAGTTCAGCCAAAATTAGGGTCTCCTCCATGTACGGATGTACAGACAACAGCCAGAATTGTCCTGAGTGACAAAAATCAGAGAGTGTGGGAACTGGGGCTGCATCCCTGCAGAGAAGGGAGTGGTGCAGCTGGAGTACCTGTTTTACCATGAAATGTTTGATAAGAATGCTAAAATAGTTGTGCTTTAAGACTAAAATGACTCTTCCAGCTGAGGCGTGAGTGTGTCCTCTCTTTCCATTTGTTACAAGCCTGTGTGACTTGGAAGTTCTTGTGATTGCTAAAGGACCTCCAGCAGTCTTCTAATGAAGCACTTCTAACTGCTGTGCCACTGTCTCAGTGGTCAAAGCACCTCGCTTCCAAATTGGTTAGAAAACATCCACGCAGCAGGAACAGGCCACTTTTCATTGTGTTTAGTAACAAATGTTTAGTTTAGGGGACAGATTATATTCTATAAGTCTAGACTAGTGTGTTAATGTAGACTTTATGGAGAAGATTCTTTTAGTGGTTTCTTGTACAAATTACCCTTGAGATATTATTTTAAAATATACTTAGTGAATGAGCATACTAGAAATAAAGTTTTCAGATGCCTTTTAGCTTCTCATGTTTCATGCAATGAGACTTAAAAGTCTTAGAATTTCTTTGGAATTACTCTATACCTCTGCATGTTTGCTAAAAAGATCAGAACTGGTAGGACTGTGTGTTGCAGTAAAATATCTGCAGTGCATGAAGTATGCTGCAAATTTCATGTGTGCCTGACAAAGCCAAAGTTAAGGGCAAGAGAAACTCACGTACTGCTGAGGTGCTTTCTTGTAAGAAGTCCTCAAGAAGCGATCGCTTTGTTCAGATGTGTGATACAGGGTAGTGTTAGTGCAAGGCCTCACGTTTTCATCCCAAATCCTCAGGTGTGGAGCAAAGTGAGACAGAAGAGATTGTAATTAATTTGTTAATGCTGGTGGTTTGTTAGGCTTACCTCAACGCATTGTGCAACAACTTGATCTTTTAGTTCTTTTTTCTCCCCCCTTTTTCATGCTGTGCATGTCGTCAGATATTGAAACCTAACAGGCAAATGGTAAGAGTTTAGAAGAGGAGGAGATACAAGATCTTGTATCTGTTACTTCAGAGGATTAAAGGATGCAGCATCCACAGTGTACATGTGTTCAAAAATAAAATGGTGGCAAGAACCTGTTCGTGTTTTGCATTGTAGCTCTGTGACCATTGAAGAGCCGTGTTAGCAAAGACACTTTCTTTCACAGGTCACTCGGGAGCAGTAGTTTAATTTTACTTTAAGATGATTATTGCAGCAGTTCACAGCAAGCGTGTGGCTTGTTAAACATTACCATCGGTGTGAAAAGCAAATAGAAAGCTTCAGAAGACGTGACAGAACAAAGATCTTTCAAATTATCAGTAAATCCAGGCTCATGGCTGCCTCCATTTTGTACCTTGCGTAAAGATGAGAAAAGCAGTTGTGAGATCTGTCATCAGGCTGTTGGGATTTTATTATTTTTTTTTGGTCAGAGCTCTGTAACAAGGACTACAACTGTGCGAATCCCAGTTCCGTGCCTCTGTGCTGTACTAACAAATCAACTCTGGGATGACTGATTGCCTGTCTGCATGTGGTACCTTCCTCCTTGCTTGCTTAGTCTGCTACCAGTAAATAACAAGAGTCGAGCGTTTGGTCATTGTTCAGTGTGTCAGTGGCAAAAAGAGCTACGGAACAGCAGTATCTTCAGTTTCAGCACCCAGACTGCTTGCAAGAGCAGAGCTGGGCCTGTTGTAGAGCAGCAGCGTGTGTCTGGGCAGCATGTGTGTAGACAGACGACAAACTTGGCATCCCTGCTTCATTGTCAGAGCTGAGATTTTATTGTTGTAGAACTTGTTCAGAGTTTTGATAGTTAAATTTACTTGGGCAAGAGAATACAAAACCAACAAGTACAATGTTTTAGAACTGAACTTAGTTTTTGTAGCCTTGAAACAAAGTGTCTTTTCCTTAGAATTTTCATTGAAAAATACAATGACACCATTATTTTTGAATTGTTAAATGTGCTTGGGGTAAAAAGTGAACTTTCAGGTGATGCTGCATGGTGAAAATTATCTGGAGATGTTTAAACTCAGTGTTTTGCACTTATGTTAAAATGAATACCTTCTACCCAATACTTGCTTTCTGTTGGATGCTTATACTTAATTGGTCAAACTGATACCTTCATTTTCCTATCACTTCATGGTACTGGTCTGGATTTTCTTCATATCTCATGTAGCCTTTGTGGTGATGTGTTTTGAACCAAGAAGAAGGATGACTTGTGGGTTGTTAATTTTGCTCTTAACATAAGCTGTATTTTTTTACTAGTACTTTGTGTTGTATCCTTCTTGCTTTTTCACAATTAGTTGTCACAAGCTTATGTCCACAGATTTGTTTCTTTAGTGTAGCTGACTTGAGAAGAATCTAACTTGCCATGAATGGTCCTAACTGTTTGGTTGTTTTTTTTCTTTCGTGATTTTTGTCCTGCTTAGATGTTTGGAAACTGGACATTTGGTACTTTGGTCTTCACCGTTATGGTTATAACTGTTACGATGAAGGTACGATGTTATGTTAATTACTCTCTGTGTTTGGATATACAGGCAAATATGTAGTAGAGCAATAATTTAAAATCGATTCTGAAGTTATACAGAAGTAATCGATCCTTGATGATTCCAGATTAAGAGATTTTTATGTTGGGTTTCAATGGCAGTTAAAATTTTTTTTCTAGTTTTCGCATATTGCAACAATATTTAGTGTTTGAGCTGGAAGTTCCTAAGTATGTTCAGACCATTATTTATCATTTTCTGTGAAGTGGAGGGAAAAAGGAAGTTCAATGAAGTTATTTTTGTTTTAGATGGCACTAGAAACTCACTTCTGGACATGGATAAACCATTTTGTTACTTGGGGATCCATTGTATTTTATTTCATATTCTCCTTGTTTTATGGGGGAATTATCTGGTGAGTGATGTGGTTTTTTTCCTCTTCCTCTCCTTTCTGTAGGACATATGATAGATGAAGCTATGAAAAAACACTAAGTATTATGTTCTGCCATTTTGCTCAAAATTTTATGACAGAAGTCAGAAGATAATTCTTTAAACCTAAAATGGCCACTCGCTTTTGGTGATTCTTTTAGAAATTTGAGCAACGCTACTCAGCTGTCCTGTGCTCAAGACCAGGCATTAATTGTCTCTGGCAGCCCGTAACTATAAAGGCATTTTTGTTAATAAAAAGCATATAGGTTCCTGAAGATGCTATGTAGTAGATACTTTTGCAACATATATAAAAAATGCAGGTAATTTTGCAACAGGAATGGAGATGCTGGGGTTTGAATCATTAAAGCAATGTATCTTTGCTTGTGTTTTTGGGTCCTGGAGGGATAGGGTGGTGAACGATTTCCTGCAACACCACTTTATAAACAAGAACATTTCCCTCCAAAGTTCAGTGTGCTCCTTCCCCAGAGTTTCTTTGCAGATCAGGTTGGTTCCTTACAGACACAGTGCAGCTGTAACTGTATCCTGAGACTGCCTGCTTGATGTAGAATAAGACACGTGTAAGACTGCCTGCACTGTACTTTAGGTTCTAGAAGTTCCTTTTAGTAATTGCCACTTCTTTTAACTTTTCAGGCCATTTTTACATACCCAGGACATGTACTTTGTATTTGTTCAGCTGTTGTCAAGTGGTTCTGCTTGGTTTGCCATAATCCTCATAGTAGTTGCTTGTTTGTTTATTGATGTTGTGAAGAAAGTGCTGTACAGACATCTACAACCAACAAGTACTGAAAAAGCTCAGGTAATGTTATGCTTTTGTATCCAAGTTGATCAGTAGTCAAAAGAACCTGTGCTGAAATCTGTTTTGTGAACTAATTGCTTTCCTGTGATAGTTAAATATCTCACATTGCTGTCAAGTTCAATGCATAAAAGTATTCTGATTTTGAAAGGTAATTGTTAATTGAAAATTGCAAAAATGAGGACACGTTTTACAAGGGAATACTATTTTAGGTTTAAGTAGTTGGTATTAATAATAGTAGAATTATTTATAAAGAAGTCGCCTTTTGCATCTCAGCTTGCAACAGCGTGAGAGAATCATACTGTGCATTTCTGTGCTGCTTTAAAGATGGTGACTTACTCTCATTTTAGTGTAGCTGTTAGAAGCTCACTCTTCAGCTGTGATTGACACTGAGTAGTTCTTAATGTGATAAAAACAATAATTTTTAAAAATTGCTTCAGTAGGACTTCTTTTAATTAGTATTTCTTAAATCTTGATCATGTCATATGCCATCTCTGTGATTGTTGATTATGTAATTAAGTATAATTACCCATGTGGCATTTTCATAAATCCATAGAAGAGGTCTAAAGATATGCTGTGATAATAGAATCTCCCTCTGCATGAATAGGGCGACCAAAAACTCCTTGAAATCGTTCTGTTGAAATTGGGCTGTCTCCTAGGTAAATATCTCATCCTGTTTGAGTGTTTTCTTCTTTTTAGTGACAGTTATGGAGAAGTCATCCTGACCCATTGTTCCAGTAGTTACTACCTCTGGTTTCGTTTTTCAGCATTTTCATCTTTTTATACTTTTTTCTGCTAAACTGAAAAGCCTTTTATTAACAGGGATTTCTTTGTTGTTGGTTATTCACTGTTTGTGATCAAGTTAATCACTAATGAGTAGATTGGACTTGCATCTTTTGTCCAAAAGGTTATTTCCAGTTTTTGAATCATTTTGGTGTTTCTCTTCTAATCTTCACCATCCTCAACCTTATCTTGAATTTTGAATTTCACCAGTGGGCACAGTATTCCAGCATAGCATACATCAGTGCCATTTATGATAATAATGAATCTCCCAGCTGTTTTCAGTTCGCAAAAATAATATATATCAATAACCTGTTACCTTCTGCATCCCTTCATCATCTGCAACTGATAATACTGGTTTCTTCTGGCTTGCTGATGAGAGGTCAAATAGTGTAGGGCCTAAAAAGGTGTGAAAGTCAATGAAGAATTCAGTCAACAAAGATATCCCATATACCATCAGGTTCTGAAACCTCTTAGTGGTTTTCAGTCTGTTAGTGTGCCATATTAATTTTGTGATGTTGCTTAATCCAAATTACTTGGAGTTATGTGACCCAGAAAACTCTTAACTGCAGCACAGCAATACTGTTCCCTTTAGCATCTACCCTTGCAATTGCTTTGATGCAAGTGCATGTTGATTTACTTAAATTGTATTACCCTTATAATTTGTGTTCAAAAAAATAAATAAATCTAGATGAGACTTCCTCTTAATTTGCTGAGGATAGACATCATGCTGAAAAACCTACTGCTAGCCAAAATAGCCTATTGGTCCCTTTTCAAAACTGCAATATTAACTGCTTTTTTTTTCCGGTCTTGGAATTTAGTACCTAAAAGCCAAGGTAAAAGCCACTAGCTCTCAGAAGACTGTTCAACTAAACCTGATAACACTCCTGATTGCATGTTAGAGCACTTTTTGGATTAAAGAGTATTGATTTTAGAAAAATTCTATAGGTAATGATACTTATCTTCTTTTTTTTTTTTTCCCCCTTCAAAAACTAGTGGCGATGTTTATTGAACACTTCCCTTTCCTTCCTTCCTGTACATCAGCTGTTTCTGTTTGGCAGCGTATCAATACGCTTGTTGAGGCTTCTCATGTTCCTGAAGTGCTTGAATTAAAAACCAAAAAGCCCGCAGTGTTTTTCCCTAGCTTGGTCCATAAATGTCCTGATGCATTCTCTTGCTTCCTGAATCAATTCTAAAGAATTTCCAGGTTCATTTTGCTTCCATTGCAATTGTGTCGTCAAGGACAAAGTTGGACTTGTTTTTAAGACAAAATCTTGATGAGTGTGTAAGACCTTTCCTGTGGCTGTAGCTTGGTTCACAGCCACGGGGATTTTGCTTTGGGCATCTCTGTTAGTCATCCTCCTTTCCTTATTCCCATTCGACTTTGCAATTTGACAGTGTCAGCGTTAGGGTCTGTGTTTACCAAGATACTGTCTTTTTTCAGAAAATACTTAACTCCTGATATTGCAAAGTGGACTTACCTAAAACCTGATTTTACCAGAAATGCTTCGGCAGCCATTCAGTAGTTTCTCCGTGCGTGCCTGATAGTAAAATTGTATTTAAAAATGCTTTAGTTGGTTTGGGTTTTTTTTAAGGCATCTGTTCCTTTCTTGAAGTTTAATCTGTTGAGACTTTCCCACTCTTACTTTTACTGGCACAGTCAGCCCCACGAATTTTGTCAACTCCTCTTGTAGTGACAAAGTAGAGCTAAGTGAAGATGAATACTGTCAAGAAGTGACAGAATGCTTCTTTCATGATTATACCTCATTAGATTTGTTTAAAATTTCTAGTAAATGTTTTTCATTCCATTTAGAAGCAGAAAAGTCTCTTAACTTTCCAATAGAATTATTTTGCACAATGTCCTAAATGCTAAGGCATTTTCTGTGGAAGGTATTGAAAGAGGGAATATGAAACTTTGTATATTGCACTTTTAAACGTGTTTTTCATAGTGTAGATATAACTGAATGTTTTTAATTGCAGGACTAAATTAGTGTGTTTGCATATTGGGGGAAAGAATAAGTTTAGTTAACAATTTTTAAGTTTGTCAGGGCAGGATAAATTGTTGCATGAACTAATCACTGATCTTTACATTACAGCTATTTAGGCTATTTGTTTCTGTCCACCATCGTTTAAATTTTAAAATATTCTCAGGAATAGTGAGCTAAACACAAGTTTCTCAATTGAAAATGCTGACCCCTGTTGTTTTAATTTTTCAGAAACTGAGAACACTTAGTGCTCTGAATTCACTGTATCTGTAGGCAACTGCCCTAGTATATAAGGAATTTGATTTTATGTCTTTTCCAAGGTCACAGCATCAACAAGTCAGTTTGTCTCTCACCAGTTAGATGTTACATGTGGCGAAGTTATTCATAAGAGAGCAAAGAAATGTATGAAAGAGAAACACTTGGGAAATTCTGCTAAAGATAAACTTTTAAATGTAAATATTGTTCTGTCACAGCAACCAAAAAAAAAAATTGTCGTTTCTATTTTGAGAAGTTAGTATATTTAAAAATTTTACAGGCAAGCATGAGTTGACCTTTACAGAGGGATGGATTTAGTTAATTTTTCCTTCCTTTTTGAAATTAGGATGCGTATATGTAATATTTGTTTTCCTGCTTTCCAAGGTTTTTTTGCTAACCTTAAAGAAAATCTGTCTTATTATGTTTGACTTAGGTCTGTTGCCCTGAGGTAGCTTCTGGGTAATTTCTGACCATAGCTCTGTTACAGAATCATATAGGAGGAACTGAACAGTAAGGTCAATCAATCAAAATACAAGTCTTTGGGTAAATATAAATCACAGCACTGTTGAGGGGAGGAGGTAAAACTGGATGAAGATATCTGGTAAAGTATAGATATAAAAGTGTATAGGCCTTTTTTCTGAGTGTGGAAGTTAAGGTACAAGCTAAGAGCGATCGTACCAAACAATAACTGGCCGTGATGATCCCAGGAGCTGTCCTGAAGGTACCAGGCTTGTGTCCTGTATATGATGTGTATTCCACTTAAATAACAATGTCTTGTCCTGTGTCTTTCTCTTGGAAAATTACTGCTGCTACTTACTGACATGTATGTTCCATCCCTTCTCTGTCCAATTGTAGATGTACTCCAACAGAGTTGCTTTAAGTGACGAGTTCATCGCACTGCAGCCATTGTCCAGGGCAAGGAATCAGCTGAGCAAAATTAGGTAGAGTAGGAGGGACAGTTCCTCGTCAACTCTTATGCATGCTGAAGGTGAACTAACCAGTGCTGAGAGAGATGGGAAGAGGCATGAATATTAGTGGGTTGAGAGGGCGATACCTGTAGTGCAGATACGTTCAGTTTGGTTATTTCTCAGCTTTGCTCTGTGTTTTTGAGCCAAATGCTTCTCCTGAGTAGCATGTGTTGGACGTGCTTTTTTTAGGAAAAAAACATCCCTAGCATGACGCTCAACTTTCAGAATACAGATCTAGCCCTTCTTGCATCCCTTTTTAAATAATCACAGTTTCCAGCATGGTTATAATGCTTTTAATTTCTTTATGATGAAAATTAACAGTGCTTTTTGCATGTTGGATAATTTCAGCTTCATAAGGCTGTGATGGGACGGTCCGTGTATTTCAGGCAGCGGATTTCTTGCAAGTTGTTTGCCCATTTTAATTTGCTTTAACTTCTGTTGAAAGAGCAGAAAACGTTTTAAGTTTGGGTGTGTACATACACTTGTGCAGCTAAGGCTTTTTGTGTTTGTTTTGTGCATCTATAAAGTGAGTGTTGTTTGTTTTCAATGTGTATATAGGTACATATTCCTAAAGGCATTTGACTACTAAGTCCTAGAAAATTACTCAAAAGAAGACCAAAGTGTATATGTGTTTGTGTAGGTCAACCATTATGATTCTGAAACTCTTCAAGTGCACTAAGTTCAGTACATGAAATGCTATCAAATGCTAATTCTCTTTCGTAAGACTAAAACATTCATGTGCATCAATAATGTCTCAAACTGATGTTTTATTCCACCCTGATAGGCTTCCATATTCTATAGCAAGAATGCAAAGAACTGATTCCTTGTAAGGAATTTTTTTAAGGCGACTGTTCTTTAAAAACGTGTGTGTAGGTGCTAGGAGAACCCACTAACCTACATTTTTGGGCCGTAATTGCTGTTTGTTTAACTGAGGGAAAGCAGGAGACAGGAAGCCGGTGTTAGAAATTATTAGCAGAGAATTTTTAGCAGTTAGTTGAGACAGATGATACAAATC